ACTGCCTGGCCGGACCAGACCATCCAGGGCAGCATCATGTCTTGGTCCCTGTGTCCCCATCTCCCACTGATGCTACTGAATGCACTTGGTAAAGATTGATGAGCGGAGCTTATGGAAGAGCTTATGTTTTAATAATCCAAGTGAGATGCCTTCTATGTTGACACTGTATCCGTTGCTCTCCAAGTGCTTTTCATACAGTAACTCCTGCAGTCCTTACCACAACTCCATGAGGTAGATACTAGGCTCCCAGTTTCTACAAATGAGGAAACTGAGGCTTGAAGTGGTCAAGAAACCTGTCCAGGCTTCACATAGGATGCATGTGTCAGAACCAGGATTCTAACCCTAAAGTAGTTAGCAATATGGAAATAAAAGAAGCACAAGTACATCTTTGGAGAATTCATAAGAGAAAGGTTTCCTTTGCTTGGGAAGTGAAGGGATGACTTCATGGAGGAGGTGTTGACTGACATGGGTTTGAGCAGTGGATAGCATATGTCATTATAGGCCAGGCACAGTGGCTGATGCCTGTAATCCCCGCACTTTGGGAGGCCGAGGTGGGTGGATCCCAAGGTCAGGAGTTCGAGACAAGCCTGGCCAATGTGGTAAAACCCCATCTCTACTAAAAATACAAAAATTAGCCAGGCATGGTGGCAGGTGCCTGTAATCCCAGCTACTCAGGAGGCTGAGGCAGGAGAATCACTTGAACCTGGAAGGCAGAGGTTGCAGTGAGCCGAGATTGCCCCACTGGACTCCAGCCTGAGCGACAGAGCAAGACTCCATCTCAAAAAAAAAAAAAAAGGAATACGTCATTGTAGGGAGAGGAATCCTCTGCAAAAGTGAAAAGGCAACTAGAGGCAGTAGAGGAGAAGATGATCAAGCATGGCTGGACCTCTCGATGTGTAGAGTAGGGGAGCCTGAGCTGAGGCTAGGCTTTATATCAGTAAAATGGCCTGGATGCTTAGCTGCCCACCTGGCTTGGCCTGGCTTCTTCCATAGTCCATACCCTTCCTCCAGGTGCTTCAGGGTCCACGGCCACCCCTGGTGGGTGTTTGAACTGAAGTAGATCATGCCATGTGGATGGGCCTATTTATGCGATGTGTCATGAAAGGGAGTGGCAGACAGGCAGCTTGGAGGCATGAGTGGAAGGCTAGAGAGTGAGGTAGCTAACAGCATCCCTGCAGAGGAGCCTGGGCCTCTTTTATGGAAAACTGGAGACCCAGACCTGCATAGCTCCTTGAAGGCAATGGGAGCACCTCATCCAGGAGAGGGCATGGTTAGGCATGCAGAAATGTAAATGGAGTAGTAAATATCAGTTCTGAATGCAGCATTTCAGAATTCATCTTTCCGCCACACTTTCCAGGCAATCTGCACTTAAAACCCTGTCATTGTACAATCTGCTTCTTTGTCTATAGGATCCTTTATTTCTCCCATGGTCAAAGCAGTGTTCATCACATAAGATTGGAGTCAAGCGTCTGGGCCTTTGCTTATGTGGTGTCTTATTTAAATACTTTCTAAGAACAAAATTTCAAGAAGTATGATCTCCTCCAGTACCATTGCTGGAAAAAGAAGTGAGGAGGAGGAAGAATTTGGAGTGTTCTTCTGTCCGCTTCTCACCCTGATTTGCTGAAGGTTAGGTTTTCTTGGGTGAGATTTCAGAGCCCAGCTCCAGGAAACTGAAGAAAGTGCATTTCCTTATCCTGACCAACTGTCCCCAAACCCAGAATCACCATGTAAGGAGTGGGCTCAGTGGTACTTTTCCTCTTGATTTGTCAGTCAAACAAGATGGGTGTGGGATGGGAGGCTGAACAGCTGCAATGTATGTACTCGAGGGTCTAGGGAGGAAGAAAAGGGCCAGGTCTCAGCGGGTGCTGTTCATTCTGCAAGTGTCTATTGAGCACTTTCATAGCAAACACAAACCAGAATTATGGCACAATGAAGAGAAAGCACGGGGGAGGCTGCTCTCAAGCTGCTTTGGGTTTAGTAGAGGTTTGTGAGAAGGTTTCAGATCACTGAACTGTTGAAAGAGTTTAAGTCTATTCACAGAGCTTTGGCCCACAAGTTACAAAGAAAGCAAAAGGCAGAGTCGTTAAGAAGCCAGTTGTAATCCATGGGGAACACTGGACCTGTCTGATGGTGGAAATCCCTACAGGAGGAATGTTCACATCCACCCACTGGCGCTAGGGAACAGCAGCCCCTTTTGCAACTGTGTTAAAAGGATAGGCATGTGGAGGGGCTAACACAGTGGCTCGCAACCTCAGCTGCACGTTGGAATCACCTGGAGAATTATCAAAGAACAAACCAAAACAGAGGCTCTGATAGATTGGGTCTGGGGTGCAGTTTGGGCATGAGGATTCTAAGAGCACCCCAGGGGATTCCGATGTACTGCTGAGGTTGAGAACTACCAAATTTTTGAGTGAATTAGATCTGGAGCCATGAGGTTATGTTCGCCTAGGGAGCTTTCCTGCTGGATGCCTTGGAGGGGGACAAGACTGATTTGACCAAACACTTCATGTCAGGGCAGGCTGATAGAAGGATGGCCTTTGTATAATTCTCACAGGGAAGACCAGGCCACTGTGGAACTTCCAGGGGTAGGGACCATGCCTTCATTGTCATCCTGTCTGCCCCCTAGGTCCTGGCACACAGAAAATATCTATTGAATAAATGCTTGCATCCAGGCAGAGAGAAGCCATGTGTTTGGGTAGCAGAAGTGGTTTCTGAGAGACAGGAGCCTGTGTGTGCACTTCTTCAGGCTGTGTGAGGGCCAAGGGGCAAGGGACATAGCATGGGCTTTCAGAGCAGGCACTGGCCCAAGAGAAGGCTGACCTGGGCAAGGCTGCTCCCCTGTCTGGACTCAGAGAGCACTGTGAGGATGTGGCTCTGCATGTCTTGTCAGCCATGTTTCCAGCACTTAGCACAAAGCCTGGCACACAGGAGGTGCTTCTGAAGGGGTAGATGACGTCCCGGGCAGTCAGCCCTTTTCCTGGAATTGGCTTTAGGCACTGGGGCTCCTCTCTCTGCAGGGCCTGACATGGAGGCACTTTACTTCCTGATTACAATGAGACTTGGGGACAAATGCAACAAGAATTCATTCCACAGTCTACATCCCAAGCCCCGTTACCCGATTCAGCCAACAAGTTTTTGGTTGGTTGGTTTGTTTTTCCATTTCTCTCCCACATTAATGTTTTATGGTTTGAGATTTGATAGGGGAAGTAGTAGTGTGAGTGGGATTTATATAGTTTCCTGCTTCAATTTGAATTAGAAAAATCCACCCAACACCCTTTAGGCTATGAGAACTTCGATGCAGCTGTCCCCTGGGGCATCTGTGCAGAGAATGTGCAAGGTCAGGCCCAAGTAGGCCCTCCAAAGGCAGAAGCTGATGATAACCAAGGGGGTCCAGGCCCTTTGGGGTCTCTCAACTCATTAGCTTCTCTGGGGCCAACAGGGTAAAACTGTTGGGAAAAAGGACCTTTCAAAAATCCTTTTCAGACAACGTGGACTGTTATTTGTAAACTTAGAAAGAGGAGTCTATGTTAAAACATTGTTTTCTCAAAAAAGTAAAAACAAATATCTTCACACAAAAAGGAAAGGGCAGAGAAACTTGCCCCACTGTCTTCAGAATTCATTTTCTCCTTACATGGCTGCTGAATTTCTGGCGTGTACCCTGGTTCCTCTTGGGTCAGTAGCGGACAGCAGAGAAGCAGACGCTGCAGCCAGTGAGTGTCACCCCTGGAGGAGTGGCTGGTGCCGCAAAGTTATCCTTTCCCTTTGTGTTTGAACTAATCTGGGGCCCAAAGTACACTTTCCAGCTAGTCTTCCTGGAAATGCCCTTGACCTTTGATGTGGAAATACCAACTTGAAGCCTGGAGAGTTCTCCCTTTTTCTAAGGCTTCCAACAACACTGAGTCACAGACCTGGGTGAGTCATCTGCACTTGCAGCGCTCTTCACAAAAGCCCCCACTTTTTCTTAGTTCTGAACTGACTCCCTTGGCCATCTCTCTGGCGTGTGACTGTTGAGGTCAATGAGGCTGGCGTGGCCCTTGTGACTAATATGTCCCATGTGAGAATAAGAGATAAGTTGAAAATCATTTGATTCCCTGGAGAAGTCTTAACCTTTGGCCTCCCATTTTCAGTAGTAGCATTCAGAGAAGAAAGATTAGTAAAGAATGGCCCCACACGAGTAGTAGGGCATTAACTGTTCCATGAATTCTAAGGTGGAAGGAATATCACGGAGTCCTGAATGGAGGTTTCTGCTAGACAAGAGAAGCCAGGAGGATGAAGGTGTGCTGGGTTGAGGTGACATAAGAGCCAGCAGCTGAGGCCAGGCACAGTGGCTCATGCCTATAATCCCAGCACTTTGGGAGGTCAAAGTGGGTGGATCACCTAAGGCCAGGAGTTCAAGACCAGCCTAACCAACATGGAGAAACTGTCTCTACTGAAAATACAAAATTAACTGTGTATAGTGCTGCATGCCTGTAATCTCAGCCACTCAGGAGGCTGAGGCAGGAGAATTGCTTGAACCCAGGAGGCAGAGGGTGCAGTGAGCCAACACACCATTGTACTCCAGCCTGGGCAACAAGAGTGAAACACTGTCTCAAAAAAAAAAAAAAAAAAAAAAGCAAGCGGCTAGCTAGATATGCAGAGAGATCCAAAATGGCATGTTATATCTGAAAACAATGAATATAATTTATTGAGTGTTTGTTTTGGGACAGGCCCTGGGCTGTTTTAAAGGCATCATCTCAATTAATCATCCTATCAAGCCCATAAGATAGTATTATCCTTATTCAGCAGATGAAGAAACTGATACTCGGAGAGCAGTTACACAGCTAGCAAATGTGCAAGCTTGGCATCGTACCTCGAGATCACTACACAGCCCTTCCCAGCGGTGCCTTTCAGCAAATGTTTTCATGGCACAGGCCACTCGCAACATGAAGTACACTCAACCACTTTTTGTAATCATGGGGAAAGCAGGCATTATAAAAAAGACACCCAGAACTCACCCTCAGTTCACATTCCAGCCAATTTTTCTCAAGCATTTTATTGTGAAAATTGTCAGGCATACAGCAAAGTGGAGAGAATTTTACAGTAAACACTTGAATAACCACCACCTAGAGTCTACCTGTAACATTTTACTATATTTGCATTATCACAGCTCTTTAAATATACATCCCTCTGTGTATTTTGTTTTTCCAAATAAATTTCATATATTAGTACTTTTTTCTAAAGCCTTTAGCATACATATCATTAGCAACAGTTCAATATCTGCTTACATTTAATGTAAAATTAAAATTAACATACAAAGAAGTGCACAAGGCCAGGCTCGGTGGCTCACACCTGTAATCCCAGCACTTTGGGAGGCTGAGGCGGGCAGACTGCCTCAGGCCAGGAGTTCAAGACCAGCTTGGCTAACATGGTGAAACCCCGTCTCTACTAAAAATACAAAAATTAGCTGGGCATGGCAGCACATGCCTGTAATCCAGGTACTCGGGAGGCTGAGGCAGGAGAATCGCTTGAACCCAGGAGGTGGTGGTTGCAGTGAGCTGAGATTACACCACTGTACTCCAGCCTCGGCAAGAGAGCAAGACTCTGTTTCTGAAAAAAGAGTTAAAAAAAAAAAAAAAGAAATGCACAAATGGTAAGTGTACCTTTGTGTGACCATTGACAAATGTATACGCCTTTGTAACCTAAACCCTAAGAAGACGTAGACCATGACTGCCACTCAAAAGACCGTCCTTCTTCCTTTTCCCAATTAATACCTGTCCCCCAATCCTCAGACGAAACCATTGGTCTGATTTTAAACACCATAGATTAGTTTTGCCTTTTCTAGAATTTCATCTAAATGGAGTCATACAGTAGTAACTCATTTGTGGAAGGCTTCTTTCTGTCAGTATAATGTTTTTGAGACATATTTATGATTTTGCATATATGATTTGGTTGCTTTTTACTGCTGAGCACTATTCTATTTCATGGATATACTACAGTCTGTTTATCTATTCTCCCATTGATGGACACCTAGATTGGTGCCAGTCTTGAGTTATCTTGAATAAAGCTGCTGTGAATATTCTTTTTTTGTGTGATTTTTTAAGATGGAGTCTTGCTCTGTCACCCAGGCTGGAGTGCTGTGGCGTAGTCTCAGCTTACTGCACCTCCTGGGTTTAAGCAATTCTCCTGCCTCAGCCTCCTTAGTAGCTGTGATTACAGGCGCATGCTGCCACGACACCTGGCTAATTTTTGCATTTTTAGTAGAGACGAGGTTTCACCATGTTGGTCAGGCTGGCCTCGAACTACTGATCATGTGATCTGCCCACCTAGGCCTCCCAAAGTGCTGGGATTACAGGCATGAGCCACAGCACCCAGCCATATATTTTTATTTCTCATAGGAAAATACTTAGGAGTAGACTTACTAAGTCATGGATTAAATGCATGTTTACTTTTATAAGAAACTTCCAGTTGTCCCAAAGCAGTTTTTACCATTTGACATTCCCAAGAATGATGTAAGAGAGATTCAGTTGCTTCTCATCCTTGCCAAGAGTTGGTTTGCTGGTCTTTACAATGTTAGCCATTTTGTTGGCTGTGCATGTTTTAATTTGCACTTCTCTGATGACTAATAATTTTGAACAATTTTTCATGTGCTATTGGTCTTTTTTAAATATCATCTTTTGTAAAGTGTCTACTCAAATCTTTTGCTGTTTTAATTTGGTTGTTTTTTTATTGAGTTATATTAGTTCTGCATATATCCTGATGAAAAGACATACATCAGTCTATTCCCAGATACACATTTTGCTGATATGTACTTTCACTCTGTGGCTTTCCTATTAACAGTGTATTTTAGAAACAGAAATTTTTAATTTGATAGTCTCATTTGTTAATATTTTATGTTCATTGTTTTCTGTGACCTACCTAAGAAAATTTTACCTATCCTCAAGTCATAAAGGTATTTTGTATTTGTACTTTCCTTTAAAAACTTGGTGGTTTTAGGACTAACATCTAGAGTTAGTTTTTGGGATGGTGTCAGATTGGATCAAGCTTAGTATTTGTCCATTTGGATATCCGTTATTCAAGCACCGTTTGTTGAAAAGACTTTCTTTTCCTCATTGGATTGTTTTGACATCTTTGTCAAAAGTCAAGTGAGTATGTAGTATAGCGCTGTTTCTGGACTCTGTTCTTTGCATTGATCTATTGGTCAAGCTACAGATGGCATGCTTTCTTAATTACTTCATAGTAAGTCTCAAAGTCAGATAATGTAAATTCTTCAACTTACATTGAATGGTTTGGTATTCTGTGTCCTTTGAATTTCTATTTAAATTTTAGAATTAGCTTTATAATGTTTCCGCCCAAGCCTGCTGAGTTTATTAGGATTACATTAATGCTATAGGTCAATTGGAGAGAATTGATATTTAATGATATTGATTCTTCCAGTCCATGAACATGGGGTAATTTTCTGTTTGTTTAGATCTTCTTTAATTTCTCTTAACAATGTTATGTAGTTTTCAGTATAGAGGCCTTGCATATCTTTGTTAAATTTATTTCAACGTGCTTTGTGTTTTTTGATGTTGTGACAAATGGAATTGATTTCTAAGTTCATTTTCTAAATGTTTGTTGCCAGTACATAAAAATACAATTAATTTTTTGGCTGGGTGCAGTGGCTCATGCCTGTAATCCCAGTAATTTGGGATGCCGAGGTTGGCAGATCACTTGAAGTCAGGAGTTCAAGACCAGCCTGGCCAACATGGCAAAACCCTGTTTCTACTAAAAATACAAAATTAGCCAGGCATGGTGGCACAAGCCTGTAACCCCAGCTACTCGGGAGGCTAAGGCAGGAAAATCGCTTGAACCCGGGAGGTGGAGGTTGCAGTGAGCCGAGATCGTGCCACTGTACTCCAGCCTCGGCAACAAAGAGAGATTCTTTCTCAAAAAAAGAAAGAAAGAAAACTCATAACAAATGAAAGAACTCTCAGCAATTCACTTTTTTTTCTTTTTTTCGTTTTGGAGACGGAGTCTCACTCTGTTGCCCAGGCTGGAGTGCAGTGGTGTGACTCAGCTCACCACAACCTCCACCTCCCGGGTTCAAGCGATTCTCCTGCCTTAGCCTCCCAAGTAGCTGGGGTTATAGGTGTGTGCTACCACGCCCGGCTAACTTTTGTATTTTTAGTAGAAACAGGGTTTTGCCATTTTGGCCAGGCTGGTCTTGAACTGCTGACTTCAAGTGATCCGCCAACCTTGGCCTCCCCAAGTATTGGGATTACAGGCGTGAGCCACAGCGCCAAGCCTACAACTGATTTCTAAAATTAGCTTTCTACCTGTGAACTTCCTTGATTCATTAGTTCAAGCAGCTGCTTTATAGATTGCTTAGGATATTATACATAAAAAGTCATGTCTTTCACATCTGTTTAGGAGGGAATCTTGGTCTGTAGCTATCTGTTTTTTTTACTAATGTCTTAATTGGGGTTTGCATATCAGGATCAGGCTGGCTTATTAAGTGATTTTGAAAATATTCCCTTCTCCTCTATTTTCTAAACAAGTTTATATAAGACTGATGTTATCACTTACTTAAATGTATGACAGAATTCACCTGTGAAGGTATCTTGGCCTAGAATTTTTTATGTGGAAAGATTTTTCATAAGAAGATCTTCTTTTTTCCCACTTAATATTGGAAAATTCAATCTTTTCTGTTTTTATGTCCATATAGGTGAATTACAGTTTTCAGAAAATTTGTCCATTTCATCTAGGCTATCAAATTTTTTGGCAAAAGTAGATCATAATATCATCAACCTTTTAATAATGTCTGTGGAATTTGTAATGTTCTCTCTCTCATTTCTTTATTTGTATTTGTGTCCTCTCTCTTTTTTTATTGTTCTGTCTAGGTGAGATTTATCAACTTGGTTGATCTTTTTGGAGAACCAATTTGTAGGCATTGTTACCTTTCTCTATTGTTAATCTGTTTTCTATTTTGTTGCTTTCTATTCTCATCCCTATTATTTCCTGCATTTCTGTTACTCAGCTTGGTTTGATTTGCTCATTTTTTCTAGCTTTTAGGTAAAACCTCATGTGATTATTATTTTTTGACAATTTCGTTGAAGAATCACTGACATGCATTAAACTGCACATATTTAAAGGATACAGTTTGATGTACTGTATGCTCATGTATGTACACACCTATGAAGCCATTACCACCAATCAAGATAATTAACCTATCAACATATCCCCAAGAATTTCCTTGGGTCCCTCCGTATTTCTTTCCTTTCTGACCCTTCCTGCCCTTTGTTTCCAAGCAATCACTGATCACTATAGAATAACTTCCATTTTCTAGAATTTTATGAAAATAGAATTACAAAGTATATACTCCTTTTTGAGGCCTTTTTCACTAAGCATACTAATTCTGAGATTCACGCATACTGTTGTATTTATCAAACAGTTTATTCATTTCTTTATTGTAATAGCTTTATTGAGATATAATTCACACACCATACAATTTATCCATTTAAAGTGCACCATTCAATGGATTTTAGTAGTTTACTTCCTTTTATCGCTCAGTATTATTCTAGTGCATTAGCTATTCCATAATTTATTTATTCGTTCATCTGGTGATGGACATTTAGTTGTTTTCAAGTTTGGCTATTACAAATAAAGTTGCTTTGAACATTCATGTAAAAGTCTTCAAATATACATGTGCTTTTATTCCTCTTGGGTAGATACCCAAGATTGTAATGTATTTTGAACTGGATGATTGATTTCTTCTTTGGTCCCTGGGTTATTTAGAAGCTCTGTTTTCTGTTTTTTAATTTCTTTTAGTTTCTAAATATTTGTGGAGTTTACAGATTTTTTTCTGTTAGCAATTTCTAATTTAATTCCATTATGGTCAGAGAACAAACTTTGTGTAATCTAAATTCATTTAAATGCATTGAGACTTGTTTTATGACCCAGGTTAAGATCTGTCTTAGTGTTTCAAGTTCATTTGAAAAGAATGTGTATTCTTCTGTCACTGGGTGGAGTGTTTTATAAATATCAATTAAGTCAAGGTTATTGATATTATTCAGATTATGTGTGTTTTTCCTAGAGGATTGTTAAGATCCTCAACTATGATTGTAGATTTGTCTGTTTCTCCCTTTAATTCTCTCAGTTTTTTTTCTCACGTGTTTTGAAACTCTGTCGTTAAGTAATAGACATCTCAGATTGTTATGTCTTTCTAAATTGACCTTTTTATCATTATAAAATGTTCTTCTTTATAGCTGGTGATGCTCTCTATCTTATGATGTATTTGATTTGATAGTAATACAGCCATTCCAGCCTTCTTATGCTTGTTTGCATGATGTGTCTTTTCCCATCCATTTACTTTCAATCTGTGTCTGTTAAAGGTGTATTTTTTACAGAGTGTATAATTGGCTTTTCATTTTTTAATCAATTCTGACAGTATCTGCCTTTTATTTTATTTGGATTGTTTAGTCCACTAATGGCTAACATAATTATTGACATGATTGGATTCAGGTCTACTATTTTAACATTTGATTTTTATTTTTTCTTTTTTTTTAAATAAAAGTGTTTTAGATTATTTGAACAATTTTTAAAAGCCATTTTATTTATCCATTGGTTGTTTTTAGTTAACTCTTGGCATTTTGTGGGGATTACTATATACATCTTTAACTTTACACAGTCTACTTAGCCTATATGGTACCAATTCATGTGAAACATAGGAACTACTGAAACTGGAAGTCCATTTACCACCTTCCCTCTTACCCTTTACATTGCAGTTCTCATATGTATCTACCTACATTATAAACTGCTTAAAACGGTTACTGTTGTTGCCTTAAATACATGTGGTTTAATGGAATTAAGAGAAATTTAATCTAATATTTACCCAAATATTTGTCACTGAGTCTCGAGCACTGAAGATCGGTGAGAAGGCAGCATACACACTTGTTCATCCTTCAGTCTGTCTCTGGCTAGTTTTGTGCCTTTGGGCAAGTGCCCTCCAACTTGGCCTCAGCTGCCTCTCTCTGTAGCAAATCAATAGGTGTCTTAGCTGCCTGCAGACTACAGACAGAACCAGACACACACACACACACACACACACATACACAGACACACCCCTCAACTCTAGTTTCTCTAATTCTTGAGAAATTGCCTTGTTAATGTGGACTTTTGACACCAAAACAGTTCCCGGAGGATACAGCTGTTTTTCCTAGGAAACTTTCACAATAGCTGCCATACATGTGATGGTGTAGTCATGTGCCATTGCCCCTCATGTGCACACTAATGAAGCTCTTAGCTGTGTTTCTAGGACCTTGACTGGCAGTTTTGTGGGTGATGATCACTCCCCAAGTCTCCTGCCAGACTTCTCTTCTGAGACAGACCTAACCTGCAGCATCAAAAGGAGTAGTTTTATCTCTTGAGGGAGCTCGAGGGCCCAAGACTGTGGGAACCTCTGCTAATGGAGGCTCAATATGAATGGCTCCAGGTAGGGAGGGTCAGGTGAGACAGCTGGGCCAGTCTAAGTGATCCCAAATAAACTGTTACCTGGACAGAACCAAAACTTTAGCAACGAGTGCTTAAATTTCTGCTTTCTGACATGAATTTCAGATAGTTTTCCTGGCACATTTTCAGCATAGTAGTACCAGAATCTGCCAATTGAAAAACTAGGAGAAAGGACATAAAACTTCTCTTTAAGGTGAGAATGGGTCTCATAGCTGCATTTGCTGCCATCTGTGCCCATCTCCCCTCCATCAGCCAGGCCACACCAGAAAGTTAAATCCCTCCTTAACGTCCTCCTGCAGCTAGCCTGCCATCACACAGTACCACTCAGCCCATCACTGACGGACTCAGGAAAGGTTCCAGCGGGTGTCTAGTAGTGGTGCTCAGCGTGGGCTTGGGTGGCATTTTTACTGTGTCTGGAAGGAAAAAAACCTGCCTATGTCACATGAGATACATATACTTTAAAATTTATAAATGCTGTTTAATTCATCCATTTTATTGCCCCTTTTCAGGGCACAGGAGTGTTGTTTAATACCTGCTTTGTGCCTTCATTTCTCATGGAGCATTTCCAGACAAAATTAGGTGAAGCCTCTCATTGCCTAGGATTTTTTCACAGGTGGCATCCATCCTCAGATGGGCTACCTAGGACTAGGGATAACTGCAGATTTCAAGAAGCGAGTGGCTTGAATGTGTGATTCAAGGTTATTTAGTATCAAATTTGAGAATGCCCCAAACTTACCTTCTAACTCCTCGACCACGTGACACCACCTTTTGGGAAAGACTGTCTTTGGGTAAGTCTAAACTAGTTTGCTGAGAGCCTGAGCTTCATCCCTTGTTCTTGGTCACATCCCAGTGCCTAGCACATAGTATATGCCCAATAAATACCTGCTGAAAGAATAATTTCATTGTGACGGCACTGAGTTTGTCCCTTATTAGACAGTAAATCCTATGAGGGCAGGAACTGGGACCTAACCGTCTTTGCCTCACAGGCCCAATAAATATTTCTTGAGTTGAATTAGAAGTTGAGGTTCTAATTAGAGATGCCCTGTTTCTCTGGGGGTGGCGGGGGTGGTAATTGTTTACTAAATGTAAACAAAGATTCTAACAAACAGCATTTTCAGCATCTCAGGACACACAGTGATAAAACTATTTTACATTCCTCTCATTATTACTAATTTTTCCCTGTGCTGTTCCCTCGCCTTCTCACTGGCTCTTAAGGGACCTGATTTACTAAGCCCTGGGCCCGAGGATCAATTCTATCTTATGCTAATCAGAGTGCAAATGAAGCCTGGTGTGATTAAGGAGTTTAATGACTCTGTTGAGTGCCAGTGTACAGGGGTGGGAAAATGGTAGATCTCTCTATTTCCCTCATTCTCTGGATATAATCTAGGAAGCATGTGGGTTTACACAGAAAAGTGCCATCCATCACTGACAATTCTTTAAGAACAAGAAACTTTAAGCAAAATGAGATTCCTTCCCGTAACTGTTTGTATGTGTCTCTCTGTCACTGAGCAGCGATGGGACACAGGCTGGATGACTGACAGCAAAAACATGAGACAGGTTACCTTGTGTGTAAACCACTCAGTAGAGCACCCAACAGAAGCTCAATGTTGAGCTTCAGAGGAAAGGAAACTGAAATCAATCCTGAAAGAGCAAGCAATGTAAATCAATGTCATTGAACCCAGATTCTCAACAAACAGAATACACCTATGAAAGAAAAGGCAAAGGGAACCAGCATGATCTGGGCCCCACTGTAGACTAGGCCAGTGGTTCCCAAAGTATGGCACTGGCCAAGAGTCAGTAGTGCTAACAAGCTCCAGGTGTCATCAATGCCGCTGGTACACTGAGCACACCCTGAATACGAAAGCTTAATGTGTTGTTAATAAGGTCGGCCCCGGACCTAGAGTCTCAGCCTCACCTGGGAACTCTTAGATGCAAATGGTTGGCCCCACCCAGACCTACTGAGTCAGCAACTCTGGGGATAAAGCCCAGAAATCAGTTTTAACAAGGCCTTCAGGTGATTTTGATTCATGCATAAGTTTGAAAACCACAAATATGTCATCTTTCCATATTAGAAAACTCAAAACCCACTGTAGGCAAGGCCAGTGATTCTCAAAGTATGGCACTGAACCTGTAGCTTCTGCCTCACCTGGGAACTTGTAAGACATGCAGATTCTAAGGCTCCCACCCAAACCTGTTGAAACAGAAATGATGGGTGCAGTGCCCAGCAGTGTTGCTTAAGAAGCCTTCCAGGTGATTCTGATGTAAAGACCGGCTTAAAAGCCACTGGCTAATATTGTCTCATTTGATCCTCTTAGATCCTAAAAAGAAAAGTGTCAGCTCGATAGGCTTAAAAAAGATACCCAGAAAAGGAGTCTATGCATCAGATCCTTTAAAACATTATTTCTGGGAAGGTGTTTCCCAAAGAGATTGGCATTTGAATCAGTGGACTGAATTTGAATCAGGGGACAGGAAGATCTGCCCTCCCCAATGTGGGCGGCACCATCCAATCAGCCAAGGGCCTGGATGGAATAAAAAGACAGAGGAAGTGCAAATCTGCTCTCGCTTCTTAAGCTGGAATGGTCATCTTCTCCTTCCCTTGGATGTCGGTGCTCCTGGCTCTCAGACTTTCAGACTTTGGGACTTATTCCACTGCCTCCCTGGTTCTTAAACTTGCAGACATCATATCCTGGGACTCCTCAGCCGCCATAACCATGTGAGCCAATTTATATAATAAACTTAGCTCGGTCGCTCTCTCTCAATACACAAACATACACATATATATGTGTTTAAGTGAGTGTATATATATCCCCTATTTGTTCTCTCTCTCTAGAGAATGCTAATATAGTAGGAGTTGGTCTCCATTTACCAATGATAAAACTGAGACTCAGTAAAGCTCTTTAAGTTCTCCAGGTTTATACAACTAGAAATGTAGGTACCAAAAGAGCTTTTCTCAAAAACCTATGGTCTTTTCAGTCTGTCAGTGTTTCTCAAAATGTAGATTCTGATTCAATGAGTCAGAAAGCTTGAGAGTCAGTAGTTTTTGGTTTTTTTTTTGAGATGGAGTCTTGCTCTCTCACCCAGGCTGGAATGCAGTAGTGTGATCTCTGCTCACTGCAACCTCCACCTCCCGAGTTCAAGAGATTCTCCTGCCTCAGCCTCCTGAGTAGCTGGGAACACAGGCACCCACCATCATGTCTGGCTATTTAAAAAAAATTTTTTTTATTTTTAGTAGAGATGGGTTTCACCATGTTGCTCAGGCTGTTCTCAGACTCCTGACTTTGTGATCTGCCTGCCTTGGCCTTCCAAAGTGCGGGGATTACAGGTGTAATCACAGCACGCCTGGTCGAGAGTCAGTGGTGCTAACAAGCTCCAGGTGTCATCAATGCCGCTGGTACACGGAGCACACCCTGAATACGAAAGCTTAACGTGTTGTTAATAAGGTGGGCCCCGGACCTAGAGTCTCAGCCTCGCCTGGGAACTCTTAGATGCAAATGCTTGGCCCCACCCAGACCTACTGAGTCAGCAACTCTGGGGATGGGACATTGCAATCAGTTTTAACAAGCCCTTCAGGTGGATTTGATTCATTCATAAGTTTGAAAATTACAAATATGTCATCTTTCCATATTAGAAAACTCTATTTGCCAGGTTATGAAGTGCAGTGGTTCTTACATTGTAGGTATTTGAAAGCCATTAGAGAGAAACCAGACAAGACAAAAAAGATAAAACATTTAAGCCTGAATACTGGCTTGCATTCAGTGTTTCTCCATGAGATAAGGACACATGCATGATAATCACTGGGCTGAACCATGACAGTACTTCTCTGTGAAGGCTCCTGCAAATGCATGTAGAATGTAGAGCCAGTGGGCACAAGCTCTGGGAACTAAGAGAAGTTATGACTAAGGGACAGCATACTATCTGAAGACGTAGACCTGGCATTGCACAGGAAAATGATGCTTAACATTTTTCAAAGGAAATATATCTAACAGCAGAATAAGATAAATCTGTGCTTGTCTGGCATGCAAAAAATGATCTGGGATAAAAAACAGCTTAGGAGTTTTTAATCTTCTGTAAATCCTGGAAATTCATATGCCGTTTCATCTATATCAAACCAATGCATGTTGCTTTGATATAAATAACATTTAAATTACTATTAAGATGAAAGAGATGCTGTTACACTGCATCTATTAGACTCATAAAATGTACTGAAGTGATCTGATAACAAGTATTGGAATTAGCGTATTTCTTTTCTGTCTTGGTGCTACAGTATTTCAAGAACTTGGAATACATGAAAACAAATGGCAACAGCTTGTGGATGGCTTTGGGAGCTATGTAAACATAGTCACTGAGGACAGGGGCCCAGAAGGTTGCATGAGGTGTTTTGTTTCAGTGTTCAGGGGCTGCTTGGGTACAAGAGGTGAATCTTCAAGTGGTTTTTGAAAACAGAAGAGAAAAGATCTTTGATCTATGCATCAGATCCTTTTAATTTCAAGAAAATGCTCATCAAAGTATTTTGAGTGAAGAAAGATGATCAAAGATGTTCTGTACTATACCACTCACACTGTCATTTCATTACATGTAAATGAAGGGAGGGTCTCAAATGACTCAGTTCCTGTGATCACATCTCTTTATCTAGCATTCAGACTTCAGTTCATCAAAGCAGTCTTGTCACAAACACGAAAGCAGTCAGTTCTGTCGTGAAGTTGCAGATCAAGAATGTTCAATCTTAAAAGTGCTTAATAAGTCATCGTTTAAAGCTACAGTGATTCTTTAAGTGAACAGTACTTTCGTTCATCTTAACCAGGTTTTTACCCCTTTCTATAACATTCAGGGGAGTGAAGCATGGCACAAAAACAAAACAATATAATTATGAGTTTGAAATGTGGATCAGAATTTTCTTCCACCAAAATCTGCATTCTTCTATATAAAATTAAGAAATATTTAAAAATCACTTCCTGTTTCATTGCAAATGTGTATAAGAATAGGAATGATCTTTTTGTGTTTAAAAGAACATCTCTCATGTTTATCATTTTATTGAATACAACAGGAAAAGTTAAGACTGTCAGGAGCTCAAGCTTAGGGACAAGGGTGCATTTAGATATTTGGCCTCAATTTCTCACCATCACAACAACTCTTGCCTGTGAGATTTGACACTATCTGAGCCCATGAATGTATTTTTAAATGGACATTTCTCTATCAGTATTTTACCATGAAACACTGCAAATTAATGTCTTTGGAGACATAAGCATTAAGTAAAATATATAATTGCACAATTATTAAAACCAGTGATTTCACCAGAGCTATAAGGCAAACAGCCTGGTCAATCTCAGTCTCTTATGGATTCATTTTATATTAGCTTTTATATGCCAGGTACTGTTTTAGCACGGGTATACGAAGGTAATCAAATGAGACATAACCCCTACATGGTACTTGGCAGATAGACACTATTCAAATAAGTACTAACTTATGAATTGTTATAAATACAATAAGGGGAAAGTCCATTGATAACATGTGACAGAAGGGCTTGACCTTATAAGGGAGTAGGATGGGCAGGAAATACCTGGGAAGGGTTCCCTTGGAAATCATGTTTGAGCTAAGATCTAGAAGACAAATAGGCAGAGGAAAGACAGTGGACTGGGAAGCTTCCCAAGCAGAGGAGCTACATGTACAAAGACCCTAAGGTGGGAAAGGGCATGGGAGGACGAGAGTAATGGAAAGGAAGCCAGGTGGCCTGCAAGCTGAGAGCCGAGGGCAGTGGGGGGTGGTCAGAAGTGCACCTGGAGAGCTGGCAGGGCCCAGGCCATGCAGCAGAGCCTCAGAAGCAACTTGCTGCCTGGAGTTTGACCCTAAGATGGATGGGAGGTGGGAGTTTTACACTGCAGAATGACAGAATTAAAGATATAGTTTGCAAGCTTATGCTGGCTGAGGAGTTGAGATTAGACTGGGATGGGCAGTTATTGTCAAGCTCAGGTGAAAGCTAATGGTACCTATGTTGTGGTAGTGGAGAGACACAGGTGACTTTGCAGGATGGGATGATGGACGGGCTATGGGGAGGAAAGAGAAGCAGCAGCAAGGATGACCCCCTGGCTTGCATACTGAGATATCTGGTGATTTAATTGTGAGTTCTGATGCCTTTGACTTTGTCAGGAATGACTCAGACTTTTCTACCAAATGCTATCCACCTTCCCACGGTGATTCTGAAATGAGTGTTGAAGGAGGCAGCCAGTATTTATCTGCTTACTTGTTTGTTATTGTACTGATCCTGGCCTTGACTCCTTTCAGTTGCTAAAAAGTCTCATGATTTTTTATTTTTTGTTTCTTAAATATAAGAGGTTGACATGAACACTGCATACTAAAGGGATGTTTTCATATTGTTTTCTCCCACAAGAGATAGATATAAGTTGCAAATAAATTTAAATCCTATCATTTAAGGTCATGGGAGAACTTAAGGGTGGGCGGAAAAGGCTAGTTCATAAAATCCATCACTTCTATCAATCAATTTAATAAAAATCAAATTTTTTTATTATACTTTAAGCTCTGGGGCACATGTGCAGAACGTGCAGGTTTGTTACATAGTTATACACATGCCATGGGGGTTTGCTGCACCCATCATCCCATCATCAACATTAGGTATTTCTCCTAATGCCATCCCTCCCCTAATGCCCTACCCCCCGACCCCCAGACAGGCCCCGATGTATGATGTTCCCCTCTCGGTGTCTATGTGTTCTCATTGTTCAACTCCCATCTATAAGTGAGAACATGCGGTGTTTGGTTTTCTGTTCTTGTGTCAGTTTGCTGAGAATGATGGTTTCCAGCTTTATCCATGTCCCTGCAAAGGACAGTATCTCAACCTTTTTTGTGGCTGCATACTATCCCGTGGTGTATATGTGCCACATTTTCTTTATCCAGTCTATCACTGATGGGCATTTGGGTTGGTTCCAAGTCTTTGCTATTGTGAACAGTGCCCCTGGAATAAACATATATGTGAATGTGTCTTTATAATAGAATGATTTATAATCCTTACCCAGTAATGGGATTGCTGGGTCAAATGGTATTTCTAGTTCTAGATCCTTGAGGAATCGCCACTCTGTCTTCCACAATGGTTGAATTAATTTACACTCCCACCAACACTGTAAAAGCATTTCCATTTCTTCACATCCTCTCCGGCATCTGTTGTCTCCTGACTTTTTAATGCTCGCCATTCTAACTGGCATGAGATGGTAACTCATTGTGGTTTTGATTTGCATTTCTCTAATGACCAGTGATGATGAGCTTTTATTCATATGTCTGTTGGCTGCATAAATGTCTCCTTCTGAGAAGTGACTGTTCATATCCTTTGCCCACTTTTTGATGGGGTTGTTTTTTTCCTGGAAATTTATTTGTAGATTCTGGATAATAGCCCTTTGTCAGATGGGTAGATTGCAAAAATTTTCTCCCATTCTGTAGGTTGCCTGTTCACTCTGCTGATAGTTTCTTTTGCTGTGCAGAAGCTCTTTAGTTTAATTAGATCCCATTTGTCTACTTTGGTTTTTGTTGCCATTGCTTTTGCTGTTTTAGTCATGAAGTCCTTGCCCATGCCTGTGTCCTGAATGGCTTTCTTCTAGAGTTTTTAAGATTTTAGATCTTATGTTTAAATCTTTAATCCATCTTGAGTTAATTTTTGTATGAGGTGTAAGGAAGGGATCCAGTTTCAGCTTTCTGCATCTGGCTAGCCAGTTTACCCAATACCATTTATTAAATAGAGGATCAGATGGTTGTAGATGTGTGGCATTGTTTCAGAGGCCTCTGTTCTGTTCCATCAGTCTGTATCTCCATTTTGGTACTAGTACCATGCTGTTTTGATTACTGTAGTATAGTCTGTATATTACTATATTTGTAGTATAGTTTGAAATCAGGTAGTGTGATGCCTCTGGCTTTTTATTTTTTTTAATTTAAAGTGTTTTTTTCCCAATCCTGTGAAGAAAGTCAGT